TTGGGAAGATCCAGTAGAGACCTGAAAATACAGGGTAATAATGGGCATAGAGCAATGGTGATTAATTTTATAAAACACAATGAAGGATGTGTGAAACACAATGTATATGACTTCTTTATGCAAACCAATATAAAGTAAAAATGGAAAAAAATATTGTTAGACTTGTGTGCCTTGGGGACGTCATTAGGAAGGATCCATCACTATAGGAGGATACTGAGTTTGGGGAATCAGAGGGCCAGTGAGAGCAAGGATGACCTCCAGTGAGATGGTCTGGTCCCACAGCTACAACAGACTCGCACACACTGGGGGAATGATATAAGGCCATGCTCAGTTTTGTTCTGTTGTACATGTCACCTCAGTCAAAATTGACAGCAGCACTATCTGTTTTGTCTATTCCCTCATGTTTTGATGTTCTGGGTGTTTACAATTAAAAACAGAACAGCGAACACATCCTGGGAGGTCCTGATGTGGGGAAGAGTCTGAAAGTTTCCAGCACACCTAAGGTCTCCCCCAGCATGGGTGATACTGAACAGGTTCTAGTTATGAAGAAATGAGCCCGCCTTCCTGTTTGCAGCTGCTTCCATGCTGGGAATCCCAGGCGTCATATTCCCACCTGGGTGGCATCATTTCTGACGCAGGTAAAGGAATGGTTGATGGGGGTGGCCAAATGTCAGTGGTAAACTTGATATTTTCAGATCCTGTTTGTATTTCCAAAAACCATTTACTTAAAAGAAAAAGGAGAAACACAGTCATGTGGTGACAACATTAACATTTATTTGAAAAGGGCATCATAAAGGCTCATGGGGAAATCACAACTAATAGTCCTAACAGATGAATTTGCTAAGAGTCCTTCCTACGTCCTCCTACTCCCCCACCCCAAATTCCCCCTTCCCAGTTTCTAAAATAAAACTAATTCGATTCAATGAGTTTAAAATACAGAAAACTGCCACAGGCACTAATTCTGCACTCACATATAAATATGTCAGCTGTTATATACATAAGTTTCCAACTACAAACTATAATACAAACATGCACACACACATATGGACACACACACGCAGCCAGCTCCTGGTGGCCTGAATGGGCAGAGACATGTTACAGTGAATGGGCTGCAGCATCTGTGGATCGGCAATCCTGAGCTCCACATGCCAGAACCAAGTCCTGGAGCAGGAGCTCAGGGGAAAGTGATCGGCTATGACTGACTCCAAGGCCCCTTGAAATAAGAACACCTCGTCAGCCCGGCTGCTCCTAAGAGCACAGATGGCCTAGAACCCAACAGGGCCACAGAACTCCTCCTGACCATTGTTTCTCAGCTAGCCACGTGGGGGACAGGCCCCACCACTGTCCTGCTGATCTTCCCAGGTACAGCTGGGACAAAGGGTCATTTCAGTCAGAAGATTCTGGGGTTAATGGGTTGAAGAGGCAACCAGTCAGATGTAAGGAGGATGGATTATCTCAGCACGACTCCTCTGCTCTGCCTTCCATTCTAGATCCTGGGAAGCAGGGTGGCCCGTGCTCGCACCACCACCCTCCCAGTTCATGTTTGAAGTCAGCCCTCACTCCAAAAGCTCAGATCTACTTGTTTCCCACACACCCCTAGTTGAACAGCTCCCATTGTCTGGTTATGAACAGGATTTGGGGAAAGCAGCCTCTCTTCACAACTACTTCTGTGCCAGCAGGAAAACCTGGGGCAGTGTGTGGTGATTAGAAGGAACTGAGATCCAGGGAGTCCAGAGATCGACCTGCGATTCTGTCCAGTTGAAATGTGTCCGAGTGACCCAGAACACCCAGGGCAAAGGACACTTTATGACCCTTAGCACTTCTTCAAGGCCTTCAGTTGTCCTAGGTCCCACCCCTCCACTGCTCACTCATTCAGATTTGTACATGGCATGTGGAGGGCCAGATAAAACAGAGCATTGGAGAACATTTCTAGTTCTTTGAGCTGCTCAGACCTTTTCTCTGGAGAGAGAGCTGTTCAGGAGCCAAAAAATAATTTCGTTTTGCTTTTAAAAGATAAAGAAATGGGCACAGGCACTGGAAACTCTGTTGTAAGGAGACCACCTTAGTTACGCCTGGTGATCTGCTTTTAATGTATTCACCTGTCTCACCCAAATTAAAGAACTGTTTGAATGACAAAGATTTTCATGCCTATTAAGTTCTATCAGCAAGGCGCTCACCAGTTTGACTCCTGCCCACAAAGCAAGAGTCTGAGCAGCAGCTGGTTCAAATGGACCTTCTGACTCCTCTGGGCTCAAATCTGTAACAGAAGAGTGCAGCCAAAAAGGCACTGGTCACTTGAAACCCAGCTGCCAGTCACCATCATTAGGAAGAGAGACAGCAGCAATCCTAGGTCAAAGGCCCGGGTACCCTCTTCCTCCTCTTTGGAGAGCCCAGCAAACCATACTTTGCTCTCTCCTAGACTGTCTGGTGAGATAGGGTGACTTTACAGTTTAATTTTCTGTTCATGTTAGCTCTCACCTTAGTTGTTCTGATTCTGAGGTCCAAGTTCTATTCCACATCAGCAGGTAGTCTAGTATTAAGTGGAGGGTAAGTTTAAAAGGAAATTGAGAAGGGGGCACTCAAAATGGCCAATTTTTTTAAAAGAAATGCCTTTTTTCTTTGCTACACAGAAGTGATGCAAGGAAAAAGTTGTTGGATTGATGTAGAGGAATAGTAGGTTGAGATTTTGTAGAACGGGAACCCTGTGCCTTTGTCTTCTCGTCCCAGCAGGGGGGCAAGAGGCACGGACTTTGAACATAAGGTCTCTGGTTCTCATGCTGGGTCCAGAAAGAAGTACTGGAGAAATGATTCCCAAGTGCCTTACCCAGGGCACACATGGAATGAGCTCAAGGTGAAACTGTCTTGAGGTGGGCACTGAAGTCAGGTTAATACAAGGAAGAAACAGAGCATCTCTCTTCCATCAAAGTCTAGTCGAGATTGAGAGGATGGATAGAATGAGTGAGGAGAGGCATGCTTGTAGCTCAGGATTTAGATTTTCTGCAGTATATCGCCAAAGTTATCTGAACTAAGTTTTGCTTGCTATTATTTTACACTTGTTTTCTTAGCAGAGATATTAAGGAGAAATTTAAAATCATGCTTGTCAAGTTGGGTCAGGCCTATGGCAGAGCCTGGAGCAAGCCAGCAAGCTGCAGGGGCAGCAGGGCCCCGCCACCGTGCAGGCCGTGTGGAGCCATGTGCTATCGCGTCATTGCAGTGCAGAAGCTACAGGAGTGAGGGTCAGGGACGTCTCCTGCCCGGGGAGTTTACTGCACAAAAAATGGGAAGTGCATGTTCAGGTCCTCCCTGGTTTGGAAAAATACATGGACGGGTCTTAACAGCCACACTTTTGTAGAGATGGGACCTGAGGAGTGTTGTGGGACAGGCCCTCCCCTTAGCATGCACAGCGCTTCTGATGGTACACCGTAATACTGTACCTGAGACAGAGATTCGTTATGGTCAAGAAGTCTGCTAACCCGCAATCTTTCCCCAGGGAAGGACCATTCACACCTCATTGTGACTGACATCAGCTAAGAAAGAGATGCAAAGAGTTTTGTTGGACCACAGGGCCCTGCCATGGGAGAGTTTTTCTAGAGAACATTCTGGGAGGGTAAAGGCATGTGGAGGAGGGAATAAGAGCAGGAAATGGGAGAGAGACCAGCCAATAACCTCGTTTGAGGATTTGCTGGGTTTTGTCTCAGCTCCTCGTCTGCACCCGCTGGTCACAGAGACAGGCAGGTACGCTCAGAAAAATGGAAAACCTAGGATGTCAAAGAAGTTCCTGCTATCTCTCCCCAGGCCAGAAACTCTGTGGATTGTCAGAGGTCCCAGACTCCATTCAGAGAGCAAATAACTATTCCAACATTGGATGCTAGATCCTTCTTCCCTCAAATGGCATAACCAAAAGATTGATGTCTGAAATCCTTGGGCTCCACAGTGTTGCTCATCTCACTCCCACCAGACGCTCCACTGTCCCTCACCCTGTCCCCACCCAGGCAAAGCTGGGAGCCTCTTCCACAGAAGGAGGGGAGACAGCCCTCAGGGAGCCCCTGAAAGTTCTTCTCTTTCTGGAGTCATCTAGGACCAGATGATCTTGTTCTGTTCTCCCACAACCTGGAGGTTCTAGAGATCTTTAGCAAAAGACGTCAGAGAAAGAGAAAGACAAACCAACTCAGAAACAAGCAGAAGGCAAAAAACTGTGGGAGGGCCCAGAGAAGCTCCCTCTTATCTGGAACAGAGGTGAAGGGATGCGAGAGAGCAGCAAGATTGTCTCGCTCTTGTGGGCTCCTCTCATCCCCAGGCCCGTCCAGCATTCATCTCATTCTACCCACCATGGTGTCTCTACCCCTTGCTCAATGCTACCCACTAACAGGTAGGAGCATGAACAACTAGTAGCAGGAGCAAGAAAAGGAGAAGAATCCTTGATGACTAGGGGCCTCTAGACCCTGAAATTGGGGAGTAGGGAGGCAATGCTCAGAATAGGGGCAACAACCCCAGTTCAGCTCTTGACCCTGTCACCCGACAATGAGAGGTGCCCTCCTCCATTTCTCCAGGCTGCAGTCCATAGTGCCTTTGGCTGTGTCCCCATCTAGTTCCCGAGTCTCCTTCCACCCAGCTCGCTCATGGTCCCACTTTCAGCAAAAGCCCTTCATTCCTTGTACTCAGGGGGGACACCTTAGGCCCCTCAGGCTTCCTCTCTGGAGACACCCTCAGGATTCTCTGCCTCTGGCTGACACAGACGTGGAGGCAAAGGACATAGGTGAGATGCTTATTGAGGGGCAGGTGGCTCCATGTCCATCGGGGAAGATGAGGACGAGGCAGAAGGGCCGAGAGGGATCCAGAGAAGACCTGGAGGCTCCATGCTGGCTTATCTAGGAAGGTGCAGCCAGCTGAGACACCATTTTTCTCAGAATTCCAGTTAAGAGTTCCGTGTCACAGGAGCGGGGGTGAGGGCAAGCTGTTCCCTCAGGCCCGTTCCTCTCACGAGCACGGTCTCCTGGAATTCAGTACACACATAGATCTGGAAACTTCATCTCGTAGACAGGGATGGAATGGTTCTGAGTCTGCCCATAGGCTGCAGTGATGGTTCCCGAAGGGCTCGGTGGGGGCCTGTTGGGGCAGGAACATGTGGAGGACAGAGGTATGAGGAAGGAGAAGTGGGTTCTCATTCCTTTGTAACAAAACATAAATAGTTGACTAGGGTTTTTCTTTACACAAGGATTGCAGGCCATGTTACTTCTTGGGCTCCCAGGTATTCAAGTACTTGAATTTAATGTTCAGAGGCTAGCTTCCCTGCAGACCCCACAGTGACACTGATGATTTAGAAAGTAATGTAGCAGCCTGAGACACTAAGACTGCTGATTCTTCTCCAGGCTTCTCTGAGACCACCCTCACCCCCAGTCCCCATCCAATCTCTGTTTCCTTATCTAGGGAAGGTGGGTGACTGACTCCAGTCCTGGAGAGAGAGACTGGACAGTGTAGGGATTGAAGATTATGAGATGACTCGGGAGATGGAGTCCCATGCCCTGGCCACAGAGGTTGTAGTGCCCTGGCTGGTGTTGCCACTTACCTGATGGTAATTTCAAAGATTTGATTGAGTTTGCTCTGCAGCAGTGATGCCTAGACAGAGAGAAGGGGCAGTGAGCTGGGCAGGCTCCCCAGACCCTCTGCTGTCTGCCCCACAAGTTTCCCTATCTAGAGTCTTTTCTGGAGAACCAGCTATGTATGAGGTAGTGTTCAGCGCTTAAAAATTGGGCACAAACTGTAGATTCAGATCTATATCAAACACCTGCTGGGAATAGGACAGAGGGAAGGAGACCACAGAGGCCGTCAGCAGGGTGAAGCAGGGTGTCAACGGTCTGCTGGGCAAGGAGTCAGAAGACTAGGAGCTAGTTCCAGCTCTCTGCCCAAGTCACAAGAAGCAGTTTTGCAAAAGGTGCTGGGTTAGAGAACATGATCTCTCTGAATCTAACAAGGTCTGTGGACACAGACGGGAATAATGTCAAGCACATGTTTAGTAACTGAGTCTTAAATCCTAGTTCATGGCATGAACACTATCCCCAAGGTGAGTTGACAGTTGATGGGATGCTACATACCCATCTTCTATAATATATATGTGTGTATGTCTGCCTAAATGTAAGAGTTATTATGTGATAGATACAAATGCATTTAATTGTTAATCACAAGTTAAAAGGCTGCATCTACTCAGAGGAGCCTAGAAAGAAAGGGATGCTCACCTACTTCTGAAAATCAGCTCTTGCAAACCCTGTAGGGCACAGCTGCACTCTGACACACAGAGGGTACCATTAGTTAGTCTGCTCAATGGCAACTGCACTGCTTTTGGCTTATCCTTCTATGTACAGCAGCCATAAAATATTCAAATGATGCCCGGAGCTCTGGTGGGCTAGTAGCAAGAAGCTGCACTGCAATTCTAGAGGTATGAGCTTCAAATCCACCAGATGTTCCGCTCGAGAAGGAGGGGCAATATCCTCTTGTACCAGTCAGATCTGATTTGATGGTAAACACACACACACACACACATACATTTAAAAAACTGAATACAAAAAAATTCAAATAATGTACCTTGAATTATTTTATTCAATTATTTCTTTCTATGAAAATAGTACATGCTTTTAGACTTTTATTCAGAGGAAAGGTATTCTCAAAATAGGAGTTATTTGAAGATGTATGAAATTTTTTCTTTTTAATTTTATTTCATTATTTTTTTGTGTGTACCGTCAAATCAGATCTGACTGGTACAGGAGGAGATTGTTACTCCTTCTCCAGCAGAGCATCTGGTGGATTCGAACCGTGGATCTCTGAGATTGCAGTTGCAGCTTCTTGCCACTAGGCCACCAGAGCTCGCCATGAAAGTTTATTTTTATATTGTATTGTTGTTTGAGTTCACTAGTGGCTGTGAGGGAGACAGATGAGAAATGTCTTCCTATGTGATTTATAGACTCAGAAACCCACTGAGATGATGATTTCAGGTATCCCTGCTGGTGCAGCAGTCAAGCACGCAGTTATCAACTGAAAGCACGGTTATGTGAACCCACCAACCGCTTTACAGGAGAAAGATCTGAAAACCTGCTCCTCAAGATATGGTTTTGGAAACCCTATATAGAGCTTGTTCTATTCTGCTGCATAAAGTTGCTATGAATCAGAATTACCTTGATAACAAGGAGTTTGGTTTTTTAGTTTGTCAGTTCTGGTCATTATCTGCTTCTCTGATACATGAAGTCCTGAGATCAAGTGTTTATATGAAAACTGTGGGATCAGGAAGAGTGGATGACCAATGTCAGCCTTTTTTGCTTCATGGGGGAGCAACTTCATGCTAAGGTTTTGGGGAAGATCCTGGTAGAGCCACAGCAGAGCTACATGGGTTGAAATCTAAACCTTGATTTTCAGGGACAGAGTTAGCAGAAAAATAAAGCAAAATATTTCCTTCACACTCTTTTTAAAAAAGGCAGAGAAATATAACCATTAAGGACAGCTAAAATGAAAAAGCTTTGGTATTTAAAGGTGTAACTTGTCAGTTACCAGAAATAGTGTCTCATTTGGAATATATCATTGCCTAAGATTGAGAAAGTCCTACCTTGTCTCTCAATCTGGCCTCTGCCGTGCTTTACTTACCCGGGCCCCACAGTGTGCTGCAATCTCCTCAAAGGGGGCCTTCTGGAACTTCTCCACCACCTGTCGCCGCCGCTCTCGCTCTTGCTCCTCTACGGCTACACTGTCCACTGCAGCACAGAGAGGGATTATTAGCTCGTACGTCCTGCTCTCTGCTGGCCAGTTGGGGACAGTGCTTATGGTGACCTCCTTCAGCCCAGGAAAAAGTTTTTTCGACACTGTCCAAGGGCTTGATCTTCTTTCTTATGTAAGAATTATAGGACTAGGTAATTGGACCCCTAAGCTGAGCTTTTAAAGCCTCAAGAAACTGAATTGTCATAAAGACTCTTAAATGAAATGCCCTGGTATAGCTAGTCTTGGGGTAAGTTGAAAGAGAATATCAACAGTGGAACAGCCTGATAAGACCACAAAAGTAATACATGTGCCCTTATTTCCCTGCAGTATGAGGATATTTAGTTTAAGAGTTCTACACATTCTGATAATAGCAGAAAACCAAAGTAAAATATTTTCTTCACACTCTTTAAAATGGCAAAGAAATAGCACCATTATGGACAGCTAAAATGAAAAGCTTTGGCATTTAAAGGTATAACTTGTCAGTTATCAAAAACAGTGTCTTATTTGGAATATATCATTACCTAATAATCCTGATAAATGACATAATTGTGCATTATAAAATACATTACCATGAATACTAATATTTTATTAATATTTTTTCCACAGGTCAACTCATTTTTCATTACAATTCCCTACTATATAATAAAAATAGTTATAAAACATTGTTTTGGCCCTTCTTAGGGGCTGTAACTCTCCACTGTTTCTAAAGGCAGCTGTCATACTAGAGAAGCTGTTGTCTGGTAGTGGATAACCCTATTTGAAAGTTCCTTGGTGACCCTGATGAGTTTGGCTGAAACCACCAGCCTGTCTCCTACTTTGTGCTGAACCAGCAAGTTAGGTGGCATGTCCTCACAAGTGCTTCCCAAGATGTGAATGCCCTTCCCCAACAGAATCCAGGCTCCAACTTACCAATGGCCTTCTTGAGAGTTTCATAGGTGATCTCCTCGGCGGGCACTCTCTGAAGGAAGGGGGACAGAAATATTCAGAAAGAAGCAGCACAGGAGAAGCAGGCTTGGTTTCATCTGGCAGCCCCTTTACTTTAGAGAAGAAGGTCCTCAAAGGGGACAATTCCAGAAACTCCTTGAGGACAACCACAATCTTATCATGGTCCCCAGAAGTTCCTCAAGCAGGCATAGACTGGTCAACTAAAGAACAACTAACAAGGAGATGAAGGAGTTACCTTGTCATCAGTTGCAGACTCGGAAGTGAGTCCCATAAACTCACTGTCCTTCCTTCCCTATGCTAGTTCCATCAAGCCAAGCCCCGTGGGAGGCAAAAACTGTGTAATTAAAACAAACCTTCAAAGATGCCACAGAAAGTGCTGGAAGAGGAAACAACTGGCAAATATATAATCTATAATTAATATAGAAACTTTAAAGAATGAATAGTATTTTAAGACTTATGATATGAAATTATCTAGTGATATGATTTTTGGAAGCAGGAGTGGCATCCACTTCCTAAATAACATGCCTCCTGAAACTCTGTGAACTTTGATAAATGTCAATAGTTATAGAAAGGCTTCAGGCCTTTTGTTCATAGGGTCACTATGAGCCATGCTCGACTCGACAGCAATCAACAACAGTGATATGATTGAAATATTTGAATAAAGTAATAAAGATAAGAAATGAAAGATTTAAATTGATGTCTTCTTGATTACTGAAGTTTGTCTGTGGACTTGGGTCTGTAGTGTCTATAAGAGGAGAAGGGAATAATAAGCCTCAAAGAAGGAACTCCATAGATGCCTGAACTTTGGTCAGATGCTGAAAGTCTTTAGGAGTTTTGACTAAATCTCAGCAATTCCCCATAAGCCTGTGGGGTCCTGGAGGCAAGACCAGGATTAAGTGAAAGAAACATGTGGAAGACAAAGGTTCATTTATATAAAGCTTAAGAAGTGACATATGTCAAGACAGTAGCTCCCTGTGCAAAGGGGGCTTTTGGGGGATAACAATGTTTTATTCTCTGCTCTGGGTGTGATTACACAGGTATATATCCATGTCATGAAAATTCACTATGGTAAAAATTTTTTACTTGTGCATCTGTTTAGTGTTCAATAAGTGTTCTGAGAGGGAAAGGATAGAGTTGTAGGGATGGGGTAAAATCATTTAACACACGTTAAATGTACATAAGAAATGGCAAACATTGTGAGCATTGGAATTACATGTTGTAATATAATTTACCCTGGAGAGTCATCCTGGATCTCCATCCATCCATCCATCCATCCATCCATCCATCCATCCATCCATCCGTCATCCATTCCTCCACCCGCCCTTCCATCTACTGTCAGAACACCTGTCAATGCCAGTTATTCATATGCTAGGTACTTGGGAGCTATGTGGTAATAGCTAAGTGGTAAGATGGGAAAAGAACTAGTTATGTGAAAGGAAAGAAACATGAGCTTGGCATTGAAGACTAGGTAGATTCACAGGTGTAAAGTATGGAGGAAAGGAATTCTAATTAGCAAAGACATGGTAGACACAGCATGGAGGCTGTGAGGAGACCAGTCAGAGCAGAACTGCATGCAGAAGGGAGGGCCTTCAGGAAGGGGAGGGACTGGTATTGGTGACCAGGAGGCTACTTTACAGCTTCTGGAGATCATGGGGTTCCCTTAGCCCTTGGGGAGAATCACTACTACTAAAAGAGAGGGAAGCCAACGAAATACACCAACTCTGAGGGCCCAGCATATGTGAGGCTCATAGCCTCTCAGATATGGGAGGGCCGTGAAAGACACTCCCTTCAACCACCTCATTTCACTTCTCCAACTGGCCCAAGTCAAATCTTCCTGACTCTCATGGGAATACAAGCTTCCAACTGGAGGCCTGTCCCAATACATGAAGAACTGTTAAAATGGTTAAAAGAAGGCTGGTTTCTAATCCCAAGGACTTCAGCTCACATACTTTGGACATGTTATCAAGAGGGACCAGTCCGTGAAAAAAGACATCAAGCTGGAAAAAGTAGAGAGTCAGAGAAAGAAAGGAAGACCCTCAATAAAATGGATTTCCACGGTGACGGTGACAATGGGCCAGAACCTATCACAGACAGTGAGAAGGGTGCAGGATAGGACAAGGAGCAGGTTTGTTCTTCATAGAGTCGCTGTGAGTTGTAGTCTACTTGATGGCATCTAACAAGAGCAGCGTCACACAACAGAAGGTTTGATGCCCAGGCTGCCCATCACCACTACTGGACATGGACACTGAGACAGGACAGACCATGGCGTGGCACCCTGAAGGCACCACCCGAGTCATCCAGTCTACCCAGATGTGAGTTCTTCTCCCTCCTTGCTGACAGTTCCTGTACCTTGGTTCATTCTGTTAACTGGGGAAGTCAGCATCATAAGAAAAAAACCCCCAAGTATAATATCTTATTGCTTTGACTCCATCCTCAGGAGCCCTTCCTCCCTCCTCCCACCTCCTCTCCTGTTTCTCTGTCACTAGAGGTTGAGGGGGGAAGTTCAGTGTTTCTGTAGTGTTCCCTAATTCTCCCTTACTCGTGGGTTCCTTGACTGTGTTTTCGGAGCTGAAAAATGAGCTAGTGGCAGGGGAGATATCATCTGTCAATTTAAACGGAAGTTTGATATTCACAGCCCTCAAGAGAGGACAGAAGGAAGATCTTTAAGAGGCTTTCTCTTAAAAAAAAAAAGGAAAAGAGAAGCCTCTATTGATCTGTCTGAGAAACGCATCATGAGAGCTAGTCCCCTCCTCCCCTCGCCTGATAAACCTACCACGTTCCCACACAGAGGTTCCACCACTGGAGAGGCTACAAGCAAACCTCCCAAGGAGGACCTTTTATGACATCTTTGTGAGGGTGGAGGGCCACACTATTTTTGGATGGCAATGCCTAAAATAAATGACTCAGTAATAAGATAGGCCTTGAGACATTTACATTCCATGTAACCCTTCCTGCAGCGAAGGAGTCCTGATCACTGAGTATCTGATGTCCCAGGAGGTGAAAGCCCATTGCCCCACCTCAGGCCCAGCCCTGGAATCTGGCTTCACTAGGACACCATATAAAAAGTAGAAAACGAACCTCCTCTTTCTCTGGACTATTCCTTGACTCCACCTCCACCTGCAGGGAAATGGTCTCTCCAATGCTCTTCCTTTTAGATAAGCGATCTTCATCTGGAAAAGAAGAATCCCAAACCCTGGAGCTCCCAGGCCTCGGGGAGCCAGGATTGAGAGCCTCTGGTCCCATCTCCCATCCTTCGCCTCTGCTTCGTCCTCAGTTCCCGGGGCTCCGTGCACACCGTGCTATGCCACGAGTTCTCAGGAGCCTGTAAGATGCTCTGAGCCACCTCTGCCTATCTAGGGTGGTCAGTTTAGCTCTTTAAGGTGAAGATTTTTAACTCACTGATAACCACAAAGAAGCAGCCTACGATTAGACAGCATATCTCAACTTGTAGGCAATGTTAGTTGCTAATAATATCAGTATCTGCCACTTGTGCAGCATTAATTAATCAAGTGGTTTTTGTCTTCATTTATTTCCTGTTCTTCTCAAATCAACTCAGGTATTACTGAGATCCCCATTTTACGGTCAAGAGAGTGGAAACTCAGAGATGTCAAGGGACTGGTTTAATGAGATTACTCAGGTCGTAAGTTGCAGAGGGAGACCCTGGTTAATTCTGCTAACTGAAAGGCTGGCAGTTCAAGTCTACCTAGTGGCATTTTGGAAGAATGCCCAGTGATCTACTCCTGAAACATCAGCCACTGAAAACCCCTTGGAGGATATAGTTCTACTTTGACACACACAGGGGTCACCATGAGTCAGAACAGAGTCTACGGCACCTGGTATAAGTTGCAATGTTTCCAACCGAGTCTCTGATTCTATACCCATGGATGCCTGACCCAATGGGACCTCTCCCATTCAAGCTGTTTCATGGACCAGTTACCTCTAAGGGTCCTAAGAGGAGGGGAGGAGGGGAAAGCAGAAGGACCTCCCCACAGACTCCCACTGTGCCTTTCAGGCCCTGGGTGACACTCAAGGTGCCATAGGAGACCATAGAAGGTCCCACAAGTGTTTCACATTCAGGCCTTCATCTTACCAAGAAAAGACAGGGGCAGGGTTGGGAGCTCTGTGTGGCACCTACCGGTCAGCTGAGGGATATAGGGCATGCAGAGTCGGTCAGAATTGTAGCCGCTGCCCCCTAGGACTTCACTGATCTTGCTCTGGCGGAAAAGGAGTTCAGTCACCACTCCATCAAGGTTCTGAGACAGCCTGGAAAACAAAGGAGTGAGGAGGTGAGTTAGGACCATAGACAGCTAGGACCATTTCCCAGTGACTTTCCTTCTGAGGAGCTCTGGCTGAGCTGCTGGCCCAAAGGTGTCCGCCTCTGGCTGTTCCAATCCACCAGCATTTCCTCAGGTGAAAGATGGCCAGTGCCATCTCCTGTGACATACAGCCTTGGAAACCCAATGCGGGGGTGGGGGTGTGTGTCAGCTATGAACTGGTTCTAACTCACCAGAGCATCCACTATCAGTCAGCTCTGACAGCAATGAGTGAGTGCTGATTACAGAGGTAGGAAGTTCATTAGATAAAGTGAGAGAATGAAAAGGAAGTAACCTCTCTCAGTCCTAGCACCATTTGCATTTTAGGGCACAGTTCTTCAGCCCATAGGCTTACATGCACACTCTCCCCAGCCCTCCACACTCCTGCTCTGTGAGATGCATTACTCATCTAATACACAGAGAATACTCTTTCATATGCTGGATTCTTTCACACGGACACTCACGGACTTCTTACAGGACCAGGGCATGATTTATGTTGGTGAGCACCATTTCTTCAGAATAGTTGTTCCTTGTGCTCCTCCGATGCTCAGGCGCCGTCAGCCCCCCACTGCAGGTGGAGAAAGCCAGCTGGATGAATGAACGAAGTGCCTGGGCTGGCGCGATTCCTCCAGGTGCATTTACCATGGGTTTGGCCAAACCTCCCAGAGGTCGTGTCACATACTCTCTGTCCAACACATGACAGGCACAGCACCCCGAGCTCCAGGCATGGATTACAGGAAGGTTTGGGGTAAACATCACCCAGAACTTTTGGGACATGGGAACACTCCATTTACTTTCCTCTTCTTAATAACTCATTCTATTTATTTTATATTGAGAATGGACACAGCAAAATATATGTCAATCCAGGTGCCACTGAGTCAGGTGTGACTCAACTGATCTGAACAGTTTTCTATTCTGCTGTGTCATTCTCACCATCTTTGACATATTCAAGCTCATTGTCACAGTCACCATGTCAACTCACCTGGTTAAGGGTCTTCCTCTCTTTTGCCTACCTTCCACCTTCACAAGCATAATGTCCCTCTCCAAGGAATAAACTCTCTTAGCAACATGCTCAAAGTATGTGAGACAAAGCATCACCATCCTTTGCCTCTAAGGAATATTCTGGGTGCATTCTCTCCAAGGCATATATGTTTGTTCTTTTAGAAGTCCTTGGGATGTTCACCACTCTTCTCCAACACCACAGTTCAAAGACATTAGTTCTTCTGTCATTGTTGTTGTTAGGTGCCATCGAGTTGAATATAACTCATAGAGACCTTATGAACAAAAGACCTAAACCCTGTTCTATTCTGCTCCATCCTCACACTTCCTGATATACAAGAGCCCATTACAGCACTCATGTACTTCTCCAAGGAATAACACCTCTTAGCAACATGCCCAAAGTGTGTGAGGCAAAGCCTTATCATTCTTGCCTCCAATGAGCACTCTGGCTACATCCTCTCCAAGACATATCTGTTCTGTCTCTTGGCCATCCATGGAATGTGCTTCTCCAACACCACAGCTTAAATGCATAAATTCTTCTTCTGTTATTCTTATTCATTGTCCAATTTTCAGATGCACACCAGGTAATCAGAAAGACCATGGCCTGAATAAGATGCACCTTAGTTCTCATACTGACATCATTATTCCTCAATAATTTGGAGAGATCCCTAATTGCAAATTTTCCCAGTGCATTTCATTTCCTGACTGCTGGGACCAAGGGTGTTAATTGTGGATCCAAGCAAGATGAAGCTGTTGACAGTTTCAATCTCTCTCCACCCATCATGACGGTCCAGTGGTAAGAATTTTCTTGACGTGGAGATGCAACCCATACCAATTTTCTGTCATTACGTAGCATCAACTTGATTACACCTCATGAGCAACAGAGAAGAACCCTGGCCCGGGTTGTGCCGTCCACACGAATCAACGTCCTTGAACCCATTGGGGCAGACACTATGTCAATGTACCTCCCTAAGGGTTGTCTTCTCTTCCACTGACCTTTCCAGCATGACGTCTTTTTTCAAGGATTGGTCCCTCCTGATAACAAGACCAAAGTATGTGAGACAAAGTTTCACAATCTTTGCCTCTAAGGGGCACCCTGGTTGCACTTTTTCTAAGACAGACAGACAGACAGACAGACAGACAGACAGACTTGTTTGTTCTCTTGGCTGTCTGTGGTATATTCAATATTCTTCTCCAATACCACAGTTCAAGGCTTTGCTTTTCCTTCGGTCTTCTTTATTCAGATACATAGGAAGCAAATGAAAACATCATGGCTTGCATCAGTATGGGAAGCCAAACTTTATAACAAATATTATATGAAAATCCTTGTTCAGGAATTGAAGAAATTACAAATTTATAAGTTAGGATTTCTTTTGTGGCAGATCACAGAAAATGAGCTGTTTGTTCCTTGCAGACAGGAGACAGCTAGGGGCCCCCCTGAGGCACCAAGGCAATCCTTGAGTATACCAAATTCTTGCATTTGCTATCCCTTTCTTCCTGAGTCAAAGGGAAGGCTTTCAATAGAGAAAAATTTGGCTTCATTTACAAGGAATTCCTTTTATGATTTGCTTCCCTTGATTATCAATAAACACACAGAGAAACATGACTTGGGGTCTTCAGTAGAGAATTGCTGGCCCCCCGTTTTATGCTCTCTGTTCTATCTCATTCTTGACTGTCTGTCTCATTAATAATTATAAAAATACTTTCTCCTCAGTCTGCAACACATCAGCCCCATCTTAGTCTTTAAACTGAAATCCTTGCTCTTCAGCACCTTAGAGAGGTCCTTGATGGCAGATTTCCCCAGTGCAGGCTGTCTTTTGATTTCTAGACCAGGGTCGCTGGTTACATTCTCATTCTCCTTAGATGAGTTATTCTCCCACCATTAACACAAACTCTCTGTGGACAGGGTCCCTTTCTGCCTTTGATTCCAAAGAGGCCTGAGCCCCACCTTGTCTGGGTGACCTCTCTTGACCTCAGCTTCACCACCATCCCCAGCTTGACTGAGTCTGAAGCATGCTTCTTACCTGGGCCTCTCCACAAACACATCCTCAGGGAGCATGTACGGGGCCTCCTTCTTCCGTGTCTCAATCACCTGGAGTTTGGGGGGGATTCCAGTGAGAGAAGCTGAGTTGGCAGAGAGAGGGACCTCAGGACAGGCAGACGAACGAGCTCACCCATACTCAGTTTCAGCATTCACCCCTCACCCACCACATGCTTGGCAAAGCACGTAACAGCTGGGCTTTATGAGTGAGAGAGAAACTCAGGTCAACCTGACACCTTCAGCAGCCTGAGTTGTCTCAGTGGGCTGTTCAGGCTGCCACGCTCCACAACACACATGTAAACAGCTTCCTCCCAACGCAGGGGCCTCCACCCCTAGGAGATGGCACTTTCTGGCTCCCAGGCTTTCTAATTAGTCATGAAAAAGGCAGATTTCACCATTTCCCAGATATCACATTGCAACACTCAGGTGTGCTGCTACAACACCCCTGGGGACAGTGATGTCTTTTTTCATAAGCTTCCTCTGCAGATTCTAACAAGCGAGCAGAAAGTCACCAACATGGTGCAAAAAGAGAGGATAACTGGCCCACAAGTATGAGCACGGGCAGGTCAGCAACCACAGCACTATTTTAAATCACAAGGATGCTGAGTATTGCCCTCCTTACAGTCTCAGGTCAGGCTGAGGCTGGGAGGGCTCGGCCTCCAGTGGGTGGTCTCTGGGACTGTGATACAGCCCCTCTCAGCCCACCCCATGAACCACCATAAACCAGCTAAGACCCAGGGATTTTTGCTTTGTGTTGCTGGTGATTTTAAAATTAATCCTAGACACTGTATCATTTCACTTATAGATACTTAAGCATGTTTTAAGGCCTTTGTGATTGATTTTATAAAATATAATGTATGAGAATGATTGTATGAAACACAATGTGAATGAACAGTGTAAAATACAATGTATATAAACTTTGGAAGCAAACCAATTAAAAAAGAATGTATATGAATGTATGAAACAATATAAATGAAAGATTGCATAAAATGCTATATGAACACAATATAATCTAAAGGAAAATTATTATGTGAAAATGAATAAAAAATATAATTTTTTTAAAAAGGCCTTTGTGAAATATCTCAGTCACAAAAGGACAAGTATTGCATAGTGCCACTGTTGTAAAACGAGACTGACATAGGGATTGGGGGAGAGACTGAGAAAGATGGGATAAATTATGTTTACTGCATTGAAACAGATGAGAGAGAGAATTATTTAAAAAGGATATATAATTAGGTATTATTGTCATGACAGGAGTCCAGAACAAAGGCTGCATAGTGGAGTGGACTTGGGGCAGGGATTGTGTAATAACGAAAGAATTTTTCTTTTCTTTTTCAAAGAGAAGAATGAACTTGGTGAGGGGAGGGGTGGGCAGGGAGAACAATGCAACAATGAATGAATGAAAATCCAATATCTCTGTAAATTTTCACATCATCATAATAATAATAAACATTTTTTAAAAGGCTTTGTGAAACAACTTGTTTTAACAAGATCTTTGTGAAAGACATAGGACATTTGATTATGGGCTGGCTATTAGCTATCACCAAGGAGTTATTGGTAATATAACTAGGAATGGTAATAGCATGGTGTCATAGGTGTAGGAGGTTAAGTGCCCGTATGTTTTCATAACTACACAATGAAGTATACAGGGGTGAAGCGAATGACAGCTGGGACTTGTTTTTCAATATTTCAGCAAAGGAAAAGAAAAAGAGACAAGAGAAGCAAATGTGAGGAAATCTTCGCAACTTTTTAATCTGGATGACTGATTTACATGTGGAGTTGGATGGTTCCATCCACCTTTTTACGATGCTTGAGCATTTAAATGGCCATTTTCGTTTCCTTTTTAAAAGCAGCCTTAGTTCTCTAAGGACTTTCATCGCTAACACAGGGCAACACTCCTCTGATGGGCGAATCCACCAGCAGCTCTGAGGGTGAAAGATGAGCAATCTCCTCCCATGCAGTTTACAGCCTCAGAAAACCTGTTGGAGGGTCAGCTGTGAAATGGTTCCGCTTCGATGGCAATGAGGGAGTGGTACACAAGCTGAGGGCACGTGCGTCTGTGCTTGTGAGGATGCGAGGAGAGCAGGGGTAGGAAGGAGAGAGGACAAGCAGCAGGTTGAAGGGGTAAGGGACAGTCCCTGTGCCTGATCCCACCTGCAGCACAGGCCCTGTTTAGTCAGCCTATGGGAGGGCTCAGAGAGAAGCAGGAAATGCTGCCACAAGCAACACCTCACTCTGATCATTTCTTACTACAAATGTTTCTTTGATGACTAAGACTGAGCATTGGGTCAATGCAGGGAAGGGCAAGTTGACCTGAAAGCCCCACATTGAGGGCCTTCTGGATCTTCAGGATCCCAAGGCAAGCCGGGCTGATGCACCCACCTCGTGGATGTGCTGGCAGAAGGCAGGCACAGTGGTGAGCTGGCTGATGAGGTTCAGGTAGGCGGCGCCCAGGGCGTACAGGGCACAGCGGTTGTACACCGGTAGGTTCTCTTCGTTGACCTGGGCCACGTCCTGTAGTAACACAGAGAGGTCTCCGGGTTTCCAGTGGACAAACTGCACTGGTGTCCCCCACCTCTGCCAGCCTCCCCCCCCTCCTTAGGGAGAAAAGACTTTTCTAGACTAAGCCTTTCTCAGCATGTGGCCCATAACATCCAGGAAGCAGAAGTCCTCACGAAAGCTGAAGTAAACAGTCCCTAGAACAACCTATGAGCACGAAGATCCTTCAACACATAGTGAATATAAAGCTGACAAGAGTCCATGGCTGGTGCAAAAGGTTACTTCACTCTGATGCTAAAAATGATTGGAGGAAGGCCTGGTGGTTTACTTCTGAAAACCCAGCCACGGGAGACTCTAGTGGCACAATTTTACTCTGACACACGGCGCAGCCATGATCGGATGTGACTTGATGGTAATGGCTGTAGTTCTTTTCCTTTATAGTTGTTTTGATCTCAATGCTTCACTTTTGTAGTTCTAGTTTAAGCAATCTTTGTCACTTGTGGGCTTATCGTTAAGCCCTAGTGGTATGGAGTTTCTCATCAACTCAAAGGCAGGTGATTTGCACCCAGGAGAAAGGTGGGCAGTCTCCTCCTGTGTGATTTTCAGCCTCTGAAAACCTACTGGAGAGTCAGCTATGACCTGGCTCTGACTTGATGGCACACAAGCATCACAACATTAACACCACCACTAAGATGCCAGTTCCTCACCAAAGACACTCATGTTTGACTAGAGGTCAAAATTAGCTTGCTGAACTGGGTTCAGATGTTAGGGTGAGAAAGATGTGGAACTCACCAGGGGACAGAAAACAGGAAGGAATCTCATATTAGGAACTAAACTGGAGATCTGGGTTGGACTTTCAGGCATGGGAACTATCAATGAGGTGGTCAAAACTTCTCATCACTAAAATCCAGGTTCACCACAATTCAGAAATGTGATACCTACTTAGCCACAGGGCTCTGTAGACTCCGGTCACTGGGGCTAAAAGACCCACCCTGATTCCTCCACCATTGAGGACACTGTCACTCAAGCAGATCCAGAAAGATACCAGGTTCCTCTAGTACCGTCCTGGCTGCCTTAGACCCACACAGGTATCCTTGTTGGCTAGAGAGGTCCCGTCTTGAAGCCCCTGGCTTGATAGTTCTGGGACAGAGCTGTGAGTATGTGTTTTCAATAAGTGCTCAAAGTGATTCTAAAGCACAGCCACGTTTGAGAACCAGAGAGTCTTTAGACAAACAAGTTTGCTTTGGGATCATTTATGAGTAGCATCAGGGGAATCCATGGGAGTCTCACTCAGTTCCTGGGAGACATGTAAAATATTTAGGGCTGAAGTGCGGTTCTGAATGGCTGTGTTCTCTGGGTTTCCTTTCACCCGAGGCTGGGCTAAGGTCATGAATTAAAAGCCCCCAGTGGTTTTCCCAAATGGACCATGGTTTGGGGTCTCCATCACAGAGGAATGGCTAATCAGGAGCATCAGACTCCTGGATGCCAAAACAACCCGCTGCTACTCTGTACTCTTGTTAAAGAATTGTGCTGACATCCTAAAAGTACACAGTTCAAATCCACCAGCTGCTCTGCAAGAGAAAGGTGGGCAATCTCTTCCTATGCTTCTCCTGCCTTTGAAAAGCCACTGTGTGTTGGTTGTCAGTTATTTCTGACTGATGGTACCCACCACCACCACCATCATAGTCTCATTAGCGCTCATCCAGCACAGTCCTCCTCCCGCTGACCCCATGCTGAGGCCCACCTGAACAGCCAGCACCAGGCGGATGAGGTCCACCACCACCTCCTCATTGGCCAGCTCGATGCTTATGAGTGCCAGCAAGCCGTAGAGGGCCTTGTAGTGCTTCTGCATGTTGCTTTCCTCCTTACAGCTCAGGTAGATGTGTCTGTAGAGTTGCTGGGAATGCTGCGGGCAGGGATGGGGACAAGGTGAGGCCACGTGGGTGGATGAGAATAGGAGGAGCAGGCAGAAAACGGAGGGAGGCCAGTGGGCTGCAGGCGTGTGGCGGCCTCCACCCTCAGGGGTGAGCACCCTGGAGGGAGCACATCAGCAACAAAGGCAGCTGCCCAAATGCAGTCTTAGTCCAGTCACAGAAGAGCATAGTCTCTGGCCCTGCACCGGCCCAGCAGGGGTGCTCCTCCTCAGCCTCCATGACAGATTCATCCCTTTAGGGGGCTGCTGGTCCCCCAACTAAGCACATGCAAAGGGAAAGTCAGCAGGGGCTGGCAGACAGGGTCCACAGGGCCAGGCCCTCCGGAGTGGGGGTCACCTTCACTCACCTTCTTCATGAAGACCGTGTCCTGTCGGGAGCATTTGTCCACCTTCAGCTTCAGGACAGAGATATCGCTGAGGGTGCTGGAAGGGGAAGCGAGGGGTCACCTCAGCTCTGCATGAGGCCAGCCCTCCCACGGTGTCACGGGGTTTGCCACTCAACACAGTTAAGTCTCTCCCAAAGCCCCTTTGCTGCTTTTCTTTTCTGTTAAGGGAGGTCTGGTGACCTAGTGGTAAGGAGCTGTGCTGCAGTCCTGAAGGCAGGCAGTTCAAATACACCAGTAGCTCTGAGAGAGAAGGATGGACAATCTCCTCTTGTGCGATTAAAACTGCCTCTGAAAACCCGCTGGAGGGTCAGCTATGAGTCAGTTTGGGCTCGGCAGTACACAGCAACAACAACCCTATTTCTTAGCCCAATTTCCATTTTCTCCCAAGTCCTCAAGTTCCTATCCCTTTCCCTTAAATCCTGATTATCCAATTTCTTATCTTAGTCTCCCAAGTCCTTAGCCCCTGTTGATAGTCTCACTTCTCTGTCTTCCCTCTTCCCCTGAAAATCCCCTACAATGCCTGCCTTCACCTCTCACCTCTCCAACACAGCACTATGGTGCACGGTTGTATGCGTCAACTTGCCAAGGTTATGTTCCCAGTTGTTTAGCCAAACACAAGTCCAATTCCTATCCATGATGTAACAAAATGTAAGTTATGATTACTGCTTACAAAGTAATCAGAGGGAATGCAATCAGTTAATCTGCTGAAAAGAGTTTCAACAAAGGTGTGGTCAGCCTCTATAAATAATATGATATACAATAAGTGTTAAAATAATAAGGCCATAAAATCATATTTTGGCAGAATTCTACCCTGTACTCTTCCTGTTGCCTGACTTTGGCCTTGCCAGCCTCCCCCAATCATGTGAGCCAATTCCTGAGTGTAAATTTTTCTCGCGTTACATCTGTGGCTCATCTAGCTAGCTCTCTCTCACTGGTACAGTTTCTCACAGGAATCCTGACAAAGATAACCATCCTTCTGTCCCAGGCATCAGGGTGCCCACTCCCTTTGCCTACTCAGGACCCCCCAGAGTCAGTCTCTGATCAGCTTCCTGGTGGGTCTCACTGAATTCACCTGGTGGTGAAGCTACTGGCAAAGAAGACAGACTCTGTGGGGAATCTTCTCTCCCCATGCCCACCAGCTCAGGAGGGATCCCAAGTCTACCTGATGGTAGAGAACTTGTGGCGGTTGCCATGGCGATCAATGAAACTGATGAGGATCTCCAGGACGAAGAGGCGGATTTCTGCATCCTCCATGAGGGCGGTGGACAGGAGGCGGTCAAGGAAGTTGCTGGGCAGGGCTGACATCATGTTGCTGCACTGGAAGCCCATGGACACCTGCCGGAAGCCAAGGGTGGGAGTGAGGCGTCAGGATGTGGAGGAAGTGCCAGCAGATGCGAGGTCTAAAGTGTCCATCCTCTAAAGATTTCTTTCAGTCCAGCTCCCCTTCACTTAAGCTCTGGAGGCCACAGGAAACCCTCTTGGACATCCCACCAGCCACTCAGCTAACCTGATTAGCTGGGCTCAGTGGACATGTGAGTGGTTGCCAGATCAGGCAAATGTACAGAGATTAAAGTTTATCAGTCGCTGCTGGGACAGCACTAAGGATGACAAGAAAAATGATGCCTTTGAGCTGTAGTCTGGAAAAGAGTACTGAACATACCATGGACTGCCAAGAGATCAAACGGGTCTGTCCTAGAGAGGATGGAACCGGGTTGCTCCTTGGAGGCTAGGATTTTGAATCACTGTCTCACTTACTTTGGGCACGTGGCCAGGAGGGACCAATCCTTGGAGAAGGATATCATGCTTGGAAGGGTAGAGGGATAATGCAGGAGAGGAGGACCCCAGATGAGATGGACTGACTCAGTGACTGGGGAAATGGAGTCAGGGGTGTCAGAGATGGTGAGATTGGTTCAGAATAAATAGGGCAAGGTCAGAGATGTTGTTCATAGGGTGGCTATGAGTAGTAGTTGACTCAATGGCACATAACAACAACAACTGGAGCAGGTGGGAGGAGAGAGGGGAACTCTTACTTAGGGGATCCTGTATAGTGATGATGGCTGTACAACAAGGGAAGTGTGAACAATGTCAGTGAATCGTACAGGCAGTAATTGTGGAAATGCCAAGTGTTTTGCTATATCATTTCAGTACAGTTCACCCTTATCCAAAAAAAAAAAAAAATAAGCAAAGTATGAGTGAGTGCTAGAGGAGTTGGGGAGCCTCTAAATTGAATTTTGGCAGAATTTCACTCCACAAGCATCATGCTTCAATAACAGCATGGATAATCACAAAGAGAGACAGTGTACGACCAACTGGGCTGAGTGAAGAATTAGACCCCACATACATGGTAAGAGCCGACGGCCACACATGCATGGTATCTGGTACCAAGGGCTTGCTGTTAAGAGGGACCTTCTGATGTGATTAGGTGTTATTGTCATGACAGGAGTCCAGAACAAAGGCTGCATAGTGGAGTGGACCTGGGTGGAGGGATTGTATAACAATGAAAGAAGTTTACCTTTTAAAGAGAAGAGCGAATTGGGGAACAGAAGGGGTGGGCAGGGAGAAAAGTGCAACAATGAATGAATGTAAATCATCAGTCTCTGTAAACTTTCATTAAAATTAATAATGATAAAAAATTTTTAAAAAAAGAGAAGGAAAGGAAAAAAGAGAAAGCCAGCTGGCGTGGGCGCATACATTATGTGCCGTGCTGCCAAAGCATTCACAATCAGCAAGACGTGCAATGCTGTCTGTGTGGCAAAACAACGCCTTTGATGATTCAGGTCCTTGAGGATGTCGCACATCAGTGATCACTGATGATAATCTTAGGGATACGTCTTGAGTTCCCCAAAGTGTCTCCTTACCAAAGGTCTAGGTACAAAGCTACTTAAAAAAAATAATATGGATACAAAATTGTGACGGTAAACTCAGCAGAGAAATGGCCTGTGTATGCAGATCAGGTGGGCAGTGTCAGTGTGAAGAGATTATAAAAATAAAGTGATAACTACATAAAATACAGTGTGTAGGAATGATTACATAAAGCACAATGTATATGAATGAAGCACAATGTTAAGGAAAGATTGTATAAAACTTAACCATCATGCATGAAATGCGATGTATGTGAATGGTTGTATGCAAACTAATAAAAATATGAGCAGGAAGAAAATAAGCATGAAACAGGGTGAGGAAGGCATGAGAGTTCATCTGTGCAGATGGGCAGGGTGAGCGCTGAGGTGTGAGATCTGGGGAGGACAGGGGAGCAGAGAACTCCAGCTTAGGCTGAAGATTTGAAGTCTGCACGGACAACAACCAGGAACTGAGTCCTACATTTTAACAAGGATACCATGTGGGGCAAAAGATTTAAAAAAAGTTGTTGTTACAATCCCAGAGGCACATGGTTTGAATCCACCAGAGGCTCTGCCGGGGAAGGAGGGGCAGTCTCCTGTACCAGTCAGATCTGATTTGACGGTACACGTACAAAAATAATAAAATTTAAAAAAAAAAAAAGTTGTTGTGATTAGGACAGGTGAGGAGAGATGGAGAAACTATGTCACCCAGTCACAGGAGGTCCAGAGTTTAGCTGAGCTGCCTGAGACTATGGGAGGGCTTTTTGCAAAGATCTTAGATGAACTCTGGTGGTGCAGTCTGTGGGGAGGTAAACTGCTAACCCAAAAGCAGTGTACTCTGGCTGTTCGAATCCAGAGGCGCTCTGATTTGGCAGCAATGAATAGATAAAAGAGAATTTTATGGAGTTAGAATCTAGGGCCCCACTCAAACTAGGGCTCAAAATCTCTAGGGAACTGATAGGATTTAACAAGTTAGCCTTGGGAATGGTGTCTGAGAACAGCCGCTCTAGACTCCAGCGATGGCTGCTGGGATCCTAAGGAAGAGGTGCTGAGAAGAGAAGGATGGATGGCAGCTGGGAGACTGAGCTGGGCACGAGGCGGAGGGGAAACAGAGAGGGGAAAGGCTTGGGGAAAATCTTACAGGGAACAATGACAGAACCCTCTAGGAAGCCAATCGATTTCCACTTAAGATAAGCAGCAGTATTTAAGGACACTTTGTGAAAAAGAGAACTAGGCCCCCACCTGCTCTGGGTGACCAGGCTGGCCAGCAGAGTGCACCCTTTCCCTGGACTATGCAGCCCTGTGTCAGGTCACTGTTGGTGGGTGGAAGACAGGCTGATTTTAGTCCCCTATTTGTTCCTTTGGGCACATTTTTGCACTGTGCAAACTATATGTGGCAGCTCTCTCTTGGTTGCTTGGAAGGAATGGTCTATGTATAGTGGAGAGCAGGAAGGGTACACAGTTTACCTGAAGGAGGGATTTCAGCAGCATAATCTGGGTCAGACGGTTCCTGTTTTCCCTGTAGAGCAGACACAAAAACACCATCACCAGGGTGACGATGAGGGCAGTGACTCCATGCCCAGATTACCTTCTCTATGAGGCTTATCTTGATAGATTACCCAGGAAATGTATCAGAGAATGAATGGCTCCCCAGGTAGTGGTGGTGGTGGTGGTGGTAGTGGTGGTGGTGGTGGTAGTGGTGATAGTGGTGGTGGTAGTAACAATTGTGGGTAGTGGTGATGGTGGTGTTGGTTGTGGTGACAATGGTGGCAGTGGTAACAATGATGGTGTGATGATGGTAGTGGCAATGGTTGTGTTGGTGATGATGGCGATAGCAGTAATAATGGTGGTGGTGGTGGTAGTGATGATTGTGGTGGTAACCATGGTAAGTGGTGCTGGTGGTGGTGGTGATGATAGTGGTGGTAAAAATTGTGGTGGTTGTGGTAATAATGTTGATGGCGGTGATGGTAACAATGGTGGTGGTAGTGATGGTGATGATGGTGGTGTTAACAGTGGTGTTGGTAATGATGGTGGTGGTGATAACAATGGTGGTGGTAGTGATGGTGATGATGGTGGTGTTAACAGTGGTGTTGGTAATGATGGTGGTGGTGATAACAATGGTGGTGGTAGTGATGCTGTGGTGATGGTGGTGGTGGTAACAACGGTGGTGGTAGTGATGCTGGTGGTAATGGTGATGCTGGTAACGATGTTGGTGGTAATGATGGTGGTGATAATAGTGGTGGTGGTAACAATGGTGATGGTGGTGACACCACTTGTGGTGGTGATGTTGTTGTTGATGTATTGATGGTGGTATTGGTGATTGTGGTAGGGGATGGTTTTTGGTGGGGCAACCTCATAATGGCTCTGTTTCCCCACCAAGGTAATTGAAAGATTGAGGGCACAGAAAGACAGAAGCGAGGGCAGAGCGAGGAGTGGTAAGGTGAGGAGTGGTAAGGTAGACGGGTGAAGGGGTCCCGGGGGAGAATGCGAGGCGGCAGCGGAAGGAGGGGTGTGGGTGGAGACTCACCCGGTCCTGCCCGTCTCCACAGGGTGGTGCAGGGACGGCAGCGGCACCTTGCTCATGATGAAGAGAATCACCTCGGACCGCTGGTACGTGGGCAACGTGCTGGCGAAGGAGCCTGCGGAGGGGAAGGCGGAGGCGGCCGGGTGAGGCCCACGGCTCCGAGCCGCAAACCACTGGCTGGAATGGTCTAGATTTGGGGATTCTGCTTCAGGAGGAAGGGAGAGGCACTGACTACTCTTTCAGCTCTGGGTCCTCCTCTCACTATTCCTGACGATGTGGTTGAGGGGCTTCACTCTTGCAGGTGGAGGGGTAGGGGTATGAGGGGTGGAAAGACACGGCCCTGACTCCAGGTTCCCGTCTGAGCACTTCTCCAGGCTGCTCTGCAGGGCGCAGGGCCTCATATCGCCAGGATTTTTTGCTCCCTTGCCCTTTTTGTCTGCCTCCTCATGCCACCTCCTTTCCAATCACCAGGTTGGCACAGGGGGGACTGGGGTGAAGGGCGGGTTTGCCTTCCTTTCCTGGCCTTTCATCTGAAGTCCTGGTGAGAGAGCTAGAGACTGTCCTCCACTGCCCTGGGCCCGGATCCAGCAGGCCAGCCCATCCCCCAGCCCGGAGGTCGCCCTCGCCCACCGATGGTCTTGATCACGGCCTCCTGGAACATGCGCTCCTCGTGCTCCTTGATGATCTTGGTGCCCAGGCTCATGGCGCCATCGTAGCTCCCCGTCAGCGCGTAGTCGATGCTGAGCCGCAGCTGTCTCAGCAGAGTGTTGAACATCTCCAGCACTGTGGGCCCTGAGCACAGTGGGGGGACCTGAAGCTGGGGCTGCACCCTCTGTCCTTCCCCGCCTTGGTGACCAGGCTGGCCACGGCCCCTTCTAGCCACACTTCCTCTGTCCCCACTGCTCTGGTGGACTCTGAGGCCACCTTGCTGTCCTGGGCCCTGGAGGGTGGCAGCGCCTTGTATGGGGATTCCCTTTGTTTGATCCCCTTCAGGGGACTCCGGCCTTCATCAGGGGCCCCTTACCAACAGAGCCGGTGGCGGCGATGACGGCGGCTTCGGACAGGACTTCCACGATGCCTGCCCGCACCGTGGCCGCGCTGCGGCTGTTGGCATCTAGATGGCTCAGGAGCTGCTGGATAACCAGGTGGGAGTGCTGCGGCTGTGGGAGGGAGATGGTGCTGTCCCCAGGTAGCAGCCCCCCACTGTCCCCTCTACCAGGACCCAGGGCCCGCACCGGGGAGTACCAGGGGGGGCCTCCCAACTCCTCCTCCTGGTGTCCATCCCTACATGGTCCAAGGGGGAAGCAGTCCAGGCCCAGTGAACACCTCTCTTTTTCATGCTTTTCCTGGGGTTGCCTAGTGGTTAAGGAGTTATGCTGACAACCCAAAGGCATATAGTTCAAATCCACTAGCTGCTCTGTGTGAGAAAGATGGGCACTCTCCTCCCAGGTGATTTACAGCCTCTGAAAAACCCTCTCATGGGTCAGCTATGAGTCGGTTCTGACTCAGTGGCAACAAATTGAGCTGTATTTCATTTCAGACAGGTCATAATCAACTTAAAATTATTTTTCCTTGTCATTTATTCCACCCCACTGGCCTCAGATCTTCCTACTAAGGGGTCACAAGGGGCTACAGGATTCAGCCTGGTGAACTTAGAGGATGACCCTGAGCAGTGCAAAGGGTTAATGTGCTTGGCTGCTGACTGAAAGGTTGGGGGTTTGAGTACACTCAGAAGTGTCCTGGAAGAAAGGCCTGGTGACCCACATCCAAAACAGTGGATGCCAAAAATCCCATGGAGCATGGTTCTACTCTGACACACATGGGATCGTCCTGACATGACAGTAACTAGGACTGGATGCTCCAAGGGTGGCCTATGGACTCACGCCCCTTCAAGGGCTGCTTGAGATCAGCTTACACCAAGATTCCTTAAAAACCGAGAGCAAGCATTTACAGTAAGCAATGCAACCTGGTGGTGGCAGCCAAACGTGGAGTCAGTGGGCTTGTAACTTGTATGTTTTCTTTATTCTGGGAATATTTTTTCTTAAATGAAGTTTTTATTTTATACTGGTTTGCTTACAAAGTTATATGCAAACCAATTGTTGCTGTTGATTGCCTTCAAGTTGAGCATGACTCATACCAACCTTATGAACAAAAGGCCTGAAGCCCCTCTACAACTATTGACATTTATCAAAATTCATAGAGTTTCTGGAGGCATGTTGTTTAAGAAGTGGATGCCACTCCTGCTTCCAAATGCAAACTAGTACAAAATAAAAATTTTATTTAAGGGGAAAAAAAGGTGGGCCAAGGAAATGGGAAATATCTGGTAGGAATGATTTTTTTATTGTATTTTGGGAAAGTATTGGTTGAGGTCATGATGGAAAATAAACAGCTGATTCACAGCTCATTTGAATGGCACTGGGTTAGGTGGGAGCAACTGAGGGTATGAGGAAGCCCAGGGGAGCTGCCAGTACCTGAATTGAGTACATGATGATCTTAAAGCAACGGATGGCAAACACCTTGGGTTCCCAGAGAGAATGGTTGTCCAGGTGGCTGTGAGGGAGCAAGTATGGGGAAATGATTATGAAACACAGCATGGTAACAGAGAGGAGGTGTGTGTGGGAAGAGGGGCCCTCATGTGGCTCCTGGTGAGTGAGTGAAGTGTGTGGTGTGGGATGAGGGAAGGGCCCTGAGGGCAGTCCCCACCCCTGAGTAGCAGGCTGGTCAAACAACAATGGACACAGAAAGGAGCCAGGCTCTTCAGCTTCAGATGCTGTCCCAGCAACCTCTCTCTCTAAAATGATGTTTGTCCGAGGATGGTAGCCTGTGCTTTCATAATGTAGGCCACTTGACACAGAGATGGCACTAACTTGGCCAGGTGACCAGGCAAACCAGCGTCGGGATCTCCCCCAGACCCCTCAGCCACAGCACCGCAGCTGTGATGCCCCCTCCTCTTCTGGAGCCAGTGAGGATACGCAGGGTTTGAAGCACTTAAACATGGACGAGGCAACAGGGAAGCACTCACATAAGAACGGGCCTGATGGCGTTTTTGATGTTGCCAAAGGCAGCCCGACCCAGAAGTTCCCGGAGACACCTCTCAGCCAGCTCTGCTGGGTTTTCCTTCTCTTTCTCTGGAGCTTGGAGGGGCGAGGGCGACCGACTGCGGGACCAAAAGAAGGATGGATGCAAGTCTGAGTGAGGCAGGGATTGGACACAGGTTACGCTAGTCACAGGAATAGTCAGGGCTGTTGGGAATGAAAGGGATGAGAGCTTGAAAGAGGAAACCCAGGGACAAATCCTCAGGGACAGGCAAGCTGCTTTTGGGGGAGGGACTCCTGGGTACCACAGGCCTCATGAGGGACAGAGCAGATGGGATCACGTACACCATCAGCTCAAAGAGGGATAAGATTAGAAGATGGGAGAAACACAAGGGCTAGGAAAGGCAAAAGGGGGAAGAGGGAGCAAGGAAAGCCACCGTAATTGGTTCAAGCCTAACTCTGTAGTACCAAGTGACAGGGTCCGCAGTTCCAAATGTGGACAGAAGGAGGCGCCCCAGGAGCTCTGGACCACAGTGAGAGCGAGGCAGTGAGCTGCTGTTCCAGAACTGGCCGCCAGAGGGCGCATTCACTTTTCCCTGTTTCCCTCCAGCCGCCCAGACCCCACTAAGTCTTTGGACAACTTTAAACTCAGCCAAGGTGGTGGGTAACATCAACTTTACTGCTATCCCGTTTCACTGAGGGGTTAGAACAGGGGGCAGGGATAGGAAAGAATCCACACCTGCGGACCTCCAAGGTTAACAACCATCTGCAGCTCCTGTTGTGGCTGGGGCTGCTGGCTGGTCAAACCCTCAGGAAGTGAGGGGGAGGGAAGGTCAGGAGGGAAAATCCTTAGTAACTAGCAGCTTTGAAAGGCATTTTAAAACCGCCTTGGCCTGTTGCTTTCAGAGACAAAGGTAAATCTGGGTTCACATGTCCTGCCCTCTGGGAGCCCAGTACAATCACTGTCCTCCTTTTGTTAACACAGGTGTCAAGGTGACAGGGGCTGGCAGAGGGCCACACCCACAGTTCCGACAGAGACAGCTGTATATTTATTTGCAAAACAAGCCGCAAATGCCTAGATTGCTGGCCTTGTGGCTAGGTCTTGCCAAGCTGTGTGGTTTCCAGGCAGCACGCAGGCCAGCACCCGGAGTCCCCTCTCCTGTCCAGCCAGCTGCCTGCCTGCTCACCTTTCGGCCTCCTCCACGTGCTGGAGGTTGAAGAGCAACGAGGGGACGATCTTGTCCATGTGCTGTGGGTCCCAGATGTTAGCCTGCAGCTCATCATTCACCGTCTTCCTCACCACTCCCTGCAGACCTTTGATGCCTGACATTCGGATTCTAGAAAAAAACAGGCAAAATGGGTCCACAAACTCCCTGAACCTGAGAAGTCCAGCTTCTGAGGGAAGGAGAGGAGCATGTTTTGGGGGTTAAGGATGTGGCATTGGTCAAATAGCATAGGGAGACCACCCCCTCCTTTTCCCATGATGGGACCTTCTAGCCCGCTGACTTGCACAGGAGCCAACGGGGCTAGTAAGCCATGCTGGCTTGCTCACCTCAGGTCTTCAAAACTGCTGTTGTCCTAGCACCCAGGGTCAGATTACCCAACATGCAAGGTACGCACTGGCCTACTTGTGCTTACTTACTAATCTATAGTGAATAATTTCATATTTGTTCACCACACCAAAGATTCAGCCTCTTTGTCTAATGGGCATCTGTCTCTCTCCAAACCCACAGCACCTGCCACAGAATCAAAGCTTCTTTTCCAACTTCTAACAGTATCCAGTAGGTGAGGTGGTGGTGTCTGGTATGTGCTGGAGAGTCAGAATTGACTCCAAGCTGACCCTCCAGCAGGTTTTCAGAGGCAGTCAATCACATGGAAGGAGAGTGTCCATTCTTCTGTGGAGCAGCTGGTGGATTCGAACCATATGCCTTTGGGATTAGAGTGGAGCTTCTTACCACTAGGCCACCAGAGCTCCCTAGTAGGCAAGGATTATCTACTCAATAACCAAGGTGCATCTGATTCAGGCCATAGTCTTTCTGATCACTTGCTATGCATCTGAGAGCTGGACAGTGAATAAGGATGCCAGAAGAAGAACTGACATCTTTGAGCTGTGGTGTTGGAGAAGAGCACTGAACATCCCATGGATGGCCAAGAGAACAATATATTGGAGAGGGTGCAGCTGGAGTGCTCTTTGGAAGCAAGGATGAGGCTTCACCTCACACACTTTAGGCATGTTATAGGAGGGCTATTCCTTGGAGAAGAACATGATGCTTGGAAGAATGGAGGGTCAGCCAAGGAGAGGAACACCCTCAACCAGGTGGATTGACAGGGTGGCTGCTGCAATGGGGTCTAGTGTGTCAGGAAGTGTGACGATGGCACAGGAGAGAACAGGGTTCACATCCATTGCTCATAGCGTTGCTATGGGTCCTACTTGACTCAATGGCACCTAACATCATCAGTGTCATGATCGGTAAAGGGTCAGTAAAAATGAAGAAAACCATCAATGACATGAATTGTCACAATAGGCACAACAATGGTGTCAAACACACCAACAATGAGGAGCATGGTGCAGGAACGGGCCGTGTTTTGTATGTTACACACAAGGATGCCGAGTCAAAGCTGATTGGACAGCGATTGACAGTAACATCACTGTCACTCAGTGATGATGCAACTAATGACAGAAGCCAGTGTGCCTGCCACGGCTCTGGGCTTGCTCTCTGCCTAAGGTGGAGAATGAGCAACCAGTGGGGACGGCAGGTAAGACGAGGCGGAATGAAGATGGGTGCCAGCGACTCCTCTCCCGCCCAGGCCTTCCTCCTCCACAGAGGGGGACGCCAGGCGTGGACACACATGGCGCTGCCCCGCTGCCAGGGATCTTCAGAAACCTTTGCAGGGATGCTCAGAATTCAGTGCTGGTTATGCCTGTCTTCCTGCCTCCTCCTCCTGTTACAGATTGTGAATATGACTGAGTGTATGAGAGACTGAACGGATGTGCTTGTGTGTGAGGATGTGTGGAGGTGTGCATGTGAGTGTGTGCACACATGAGGGTGTGTCTGTGTGTGCGCATGTGCGTATGTGTGTCTGTGTGAGGGTTGTTTCTCCCATTCCCCCTCCTGAAAGTCCAGCCCTGACTGTCATCACCTGTGACAGCCTCATCCGGGTACAGTCTCACATTCTGTTTCTGTAACATCTGCTTCTGGATGTGCCCCACTCGGTCCCCCACCCTGGCTCCCTGCTTCATCTCTTCACAACCATTTTAGATTGAGGTGCCCTCTCAGGACGTCAGCACAGAGGAGACCATACGGGTGTCCCTCCTCCTCTGCTGGCCTTGTCGGAGCATTACTGGAGACTGCTCAAGAGAGGACTGCAGGGATGCCGGGAGACTGCGGTCCAGCAGTCCTGGGACCTCCCAGCAGATACTATACTGACTTGGAAGCACTGAGAACAGGCAGCCTTGGAGATGTGAGAATCACCTGGCTCCACTCACTTCCGGTCCCTCTGGTCCAGAGCATCAGCTGTGGAGAACAGTGTTGTTTAAGGAGACACACAGGTTCCCTTTCACAGGAATTGGCCCGGGAGCCTTCTGAGGGGATGATGTGATGAAGGCAGCAGCCGTCACCTGGATTCTGGGACAGTCAGCAGAGAACGTGTCCACAGCTGGCATGCTGACCTCTACCGACTGCAGTCCACCAGCCTCCTGCTTCTCTACCACTGCCTGCAGCTTTGATTGGACAGCTCAGGCCTGTCCCCTTCCTCTCCTTCCCCATTTCTTCCCCCTTCAAACATACTCCCTAGTCTCCCATGGCCTCCTCAGCTTGATAACTCACTCTTCACAGGCAGGGACCAATTATTTTGCACACTGCATATAAGTACTGATTCACAAATCTGACTCTGCCTCCTTTACATGCCTGTGTCAGTATCATTTCAATCAATTTCTTCATGATTTTACTTGGGGGATTCTATTTCTATGTCAATGAGTGCATTCCCATGAGCTAATTGTTTTGTTGTTTGTTTGTTTGGTTTTCATCAGTTTGAATGTGTGTATCTGAAAGTGTATTCTGTGATTCAAGATATTTATTTGGAAACAGTCATTCACTCACTGAATGTTTGCTGAGTGCCTGCTTTCCCTAAGCACTGCTGGAGCACTTGGGATGGAGCAAAGCAATGCCCTCAAGGGAAGATTCCTGCCCTCACCGAGCTTACAGTTTCAGTTTAGTGGAGAGAGGCCGTGAGTACGAAGCACGGTTCTGAGGTTACACAACACATGACTCTGAAATTATGTGTCTTGCTTGCAGAGGATGAGTGCCCCAGGTGAGGAAGGAGGGGAACCAACGTAAGGGGTTGTTCAAAGTGACGCTTCATTGACAAGGCAACCGGAAGTAGGAGAGGGAGTGAACAATGCAGCCCCATGGAAGGACAAATTCCACGCCCAGGACAAACCCGATCACGCCAAGCCCAGTGCTGGAATGTTCCTGGCGAGGAGACAAGGTGAGTGACACAGGGAGATTCGCCGATGTAAGGACTTGGGTGTCTGTCATTGACCTGGGTGAGCATTTTATGAGTAATGGTGAGTGAGTGTGTATCTGGGGTGAATAAATGCATGCATATTTGAATAATCGCGTCCAGGGAGTCCTGAGGCCTTGGAGGTAAAGGGTTTCACTGCCAGCCCCAAAAGCAAGTGGCTTGTATCCATCAATGAATGGCTCTCCAGGAGAAAGAAGGGCAATCTCTCATGCAATTTATGGCCTCTGAAAACTCACTGGAGGGTCAGCTATGAGTCAGTTTGGACTCAGTGGTAACGAGTGAGTCAATGTCCTGTCACTAGCTCTCAAACTGGGCTCACAGGACCGTTATTTTAGGTCCAGCTTGCTTTCTGGTTTCAGTGTGCACCTGCCGGTCCACGTTGCTGCTGGGCGCGCCTCATCCGCCCCTGCGCCCCCAGCTCACAGAAGCTTCTCTGGCAACAGCACAGAAGCAAACAGCGCTGAGCTCAGACAAGCGCGTGAGAAAACCCGGTAAGGCCTTGGTGGCTTCGGCTCTGTGCTGAGCAGCCCTCCCTCACCTGCCCTACTCACTTGGTCTTGATTTCCATGTCATCGTGGCTGGAGTGGCACATTTCACTGAACCGGGACACAAAGAAGTCATAGCTCCGATGGTAAGATGGGGTGTCCTCCTCGATGTTGGCAAACTTAACAAACTGTCAGGGAGAAGACAGAAAAACAGCTCTCTCTTTCCCGGCCTTCAGGCTTTGTGACGTGACGTCCTGTGACCCCGGCCATCCCGGTGCACTGACACCCACACATGGAGGGGTGGGTGAGCACAGCTCCCCTTCTGCAGTCCAAGTCCCAACTCCTGCTCACCTTTCCTGTCTACACAACAAGTGTGCGAGGCTGTGCTGGGTTGAGTAGTGTCGCCCAAAGTTTATGATTTTATTTGTAAATAGGGTCTATTAGGTAGTTTAGTGAGTAAGGAATTGCACTGCCAGTCCAAAGACAGGCAGTTCAAATCCACCAGCTGCTCTGCTGGAGAAGAGGGGCAATCTCCTATGTGATTTACAGCCTCTAAAATCCTGCTGGTATTGAATCGATTGAGAAGTTACACATTTGCACGATGGAATACTATGCAGCACGCAGGAGCAATGATTTTGAAAATCACTTTCCAACTTGGGAGGGACTGGAGAGCATTACGCTGAGTGAATCGACTCAGTCTCATAAGGACAAATACTGTATAAAATAATTATTGTAGAAATAGAAAGGTAACAAGTAAAACGTGTATGAAGATCTAAGGGGGAGGAGGGTTAGGAGCAGAGGGGTGAGCATGGGCAGGGGGTTAATCATAGGGTCACACAACGTGATGGGTGGAGGAGGGGTGGGTAAAGGAAATGGGCAAGATCTGGTGTGAAAAAAGTGTATACGCACTTTGTAAGTAAACCAGTATAAAATAAAAATTTTATTTATAAAACAAAACAACAAAACTGCTGGAGGGCCAGCAATGAGTCAGTTCTGACTATAGGAACACAACAACAACAGTGAAAACAAATGTCGCTCTCTGGTGGTGCAGTCCATGGGGCGCTGGGCTGCTAATCCAAAGGCTGCCCCACCCCTCTGGTGGTGGGAATCCTCCAGCAGCCTTGAGGGAGAAAGACGGGCAATCTCCTCCCCTGTGACTGAGAGGCTCAGAGCCCGTTGGATGGTGAGTTAACTCGGTACGTCAATGGCACCGAGTGTGAGTTTGGTGAAAATGAGTTCAACCTGCATGAGAGTGGACCCTAAGCTTGATGACCTCTGCCCTTATGAGAAAGTCTTGGGGGAGGCAGGCAGGAAGGAGGACTCAAGGCAGAAAGGACACCAAGCTTTTATGAAAGGTGATGGAAATGTCTGGAACAGATACTGGTGAGGGTTGAACATGGAGAACTTCATGCATGTCACTGAACTGTACATGTGAGGACTGCCGAAATGGCGCATGCTTTATTACAGATCTCTCATCTCCTCCTGTTCAATTTACTGCCTCTGAAAACCCACTAGAGAGTCAGCTATGGGTTGATTCCAACTTGACGGTACCTAACAACAACACTGTTTACCACAATGAAAAAAAGAAAAAAGGCCAGATGAAGATGCAGGACACACACACACACACACACAGGGCAGGAGGCCATGTGAAGATGCGGCAGAGGTGATGATGGTGGGGGTGATGCAGCTACCAGCTAAGGAATGTCAAGGATGGCTGGCGGGCAGCTTCCAAGGGGCCTGTCCTCATCCACACCTTGATTTCAGGCTCCAGCTTCAAGGCAGTGAGAGGGTAAACTTCTGTTTTAAGTCACCTTGTTTGCGGTACTTTGTTAGGAGGCAGATCCAAGAGATGAGGACAATGGTCTTTCCTGTTCTTCCCTGATGAGGTGACAGAGGAGGAGGATGGGGGGAGATGGAGGGGCTCCCGGAAAGGGGAAAGCCAGAGTGGCCCCCAACACACATAGACAGAAAGGCTCTCTCCCATTGCCACCGAGTCAGGACCAACACATTGCTGACCCTTCAAGCAGGTCTTCACACAGGAGGCGACTGCACATCTGTCTCCCATGGGGCAGCTGGTGGATCTGAACTGCCCGCTTTAGCTATGGCAGAACAGATCCTGACTCTCTAGGCCACCAGAGCTCTCTACGAACAGGCAGGGAGGGAATACTGAAACTGAGAGAAATGAACCCTGGGAAACAGGAGCACGCTTGAGATTTGACTTTAAAACCCTAATTGCTATTTTTATTGTCAAAAATTTGAGCAGATATTTAAGGTTTGACATTTTAGTGCAGTAAATATTGCTCAACATGCTCAGCTGCTGGCTTCCCTCACGCTGCTGCACATTTGCAATTCTAAACAGACAATTTCAACAGCATCCTGCAGGGAGCTGGAATCATGGCCTAAATTACTGAAAATTAAATATACTTCTTATAGACTCCTTTGTTTAATGAGATAAATTTAGTGCTCCCAACAATCCCAAAAAAGATTAGATTCATAATAACTCAGCCTTGTATTATCATTTATTTACTTTTTACAGAAAGGTTAGTTCAAAAGAGAGACACTGTTATTCCTAAAGTTACCCAGCTAATGCACTCTCCTAATGTTCTATATTAATTGTCAATCTGCCTTCCTGGTTAACCATTTAAAGGCTGTTGATACATATTAGACCAAAAATTTGCAGCTTACACAAACTGTTGTTATGTGCCAACGAGTCGACAAACTACACAAAAATAAATTATTGTAGCAATAAGGTGTATACAATTATGCCTTCCCCCTAGACTAACAGAGCCTCAATATACAAAGCATACAAAATTTCCCCTTTCAAGTTACATTGTAAATGCGTACATACCTTTGTTAGTAAATATTCCGCATGTAACAAGGCATCAACACTCATTGCATGCATTATTGAGGATTGTTGGAGAGATGACAATCCGTGTGATCACACAGTCATTGATTATGTGTGGGTTCAGATGTTCCAGAAATAATGCTAAAGTGGGTCTCTGGCCACATGGCCTTGCAAAGCCCTCAAGGCTGGAACGCAGACTTGGGCTGATGCCCAGGCTATGGCCACATTTGGATGCTGTGCTCTGTCACAGCACCAGCAGGATGTCCCTGACTGTATGCTCCTGGCAGAAGGCTGGCCTGGTCAGGATGCCCGGCGGCACACAGACCAAATAGACACCTCCCACTGGTGGTATGACCTTCCAGTCAGACATCTAACTTCTCTTTAAGTTTTTGTTTTTCCATCTGGAAAATAAGCAGTCTACGTGGTAAGAAGCTGTGCTGTGATCTCAAAGGTACTCGGTTCAAATCCACTAGCTGCTCCATGAGTGAAGGATGGGCAATCTCCTCCCATGAAATTGACTGTCGTTGAAAACTTGCTGGAGGGTTGCTATAGGCTGGTTCTGATTCAATACCTCACAACAATAATTCCTCTGTAAGGAAGCGCTGGTGGCATAGTGGGAAGAAGTTGCAAACCAAAGGTATATGGTTCAAATCCATCAACAGCGCTACAGGAGAAGAGAAAGATGGGCAATCTCCTACTGTGCAATTTACCGCCTCTGAAAACCCGCAGAAGGGTCGGCTATGGGTCAGTTCCTATTTGACAGGACACAACAACAACAACAACAGGAATCATCTCTAATGTTCTTTATCTTACTAGTCCAAAGGGAGCTGCACTACTAACTCAGAGGCCACCCCTCTCTGGTGGTTCAAATCCAGCCGCGTTTCTGTTTGTTTGTTTTCTCCTCCAGCAGGAGAAAGATGGCCAGTCTCTTCCTGTGTGATTAAGATCCTTAGAAACCCAGTGGAGGATCATTTCGGAGTCAGTTCTGACTTGAAGGCAATGAGAGTTTTTTGGAATTTTACTGGAAAATTAGATGAAGTAAATTAAGGTAAGGCTATGTGTATACATGAAAAAGTGTACACATTTCCAAAGACTTCAATCAAGACTGGGGCGGGGAGGATGTGTGTGTGTGAGAGAGAGAGAGAGAGACACCACAAGTACTATGGGCATGTTATTGTGGGGCGGGTTGGGGGGTCAGTCCCTGGTGAAGGTCACCATATTGGTGAAGTAAAGGATCAATGGCAGAGAGGAAGACACTCAATGAAATGATCTAAAACGTGGCTACAGCAGCAGGGCAAGCACAGCAGCCCCTGTCAGGTTAGTGCAGGACCAGGGAATGCTTGATTCTGTTGTACACAGAGTTCTGATGAGTGGAATGGATTCAACAGCATCAAACAGCAGCAACAAGTCTGTCGTTCTCCTTCTAAGAGGTGTATACAGGATGGTTGGCGAAGGGTACTGACTATCCCATGAACTATTAAAAGAACTAGCAAACTGGTCTTAAAGGATGTGCTCCTCAGAGGTAAGGATGGTTAGAAAGAGGCAAGGATGGTGAGACTTCCTCTCATGTACTTTGGGCCTCTTGTCAGAAGGGGCTAGTCCTTGGAAAATAACATCATGTTGGGGAACAGAGAGGGTCAGCAAAAGAGAGAAAGTCCCTCAACAGAGTGACTGTTACAATGAGCTGGAGCAAGTCAGAGGGCATGAGGTTGGGACAGGATAAAGCGAGGTTCAGATCTGTAGTTTGCAGTGTTGCTATGAGCCAAAGGTGATTCCATGGCACCCAAAAACAATGAAAGTATAATAATGGTTATAAGATGGGGACTCTGAAGCCACATTTCTTTCCCCCCTTTATAGAAATTTTATTGTGATTTTAATGAAATTTTACAGAAAACTTGGATTTCCATTTACTCACTTTTGCATAATTTCCTCCCTACCCCGGAGAGTTGGACAATTAATAGGGATGATAGAGAATTAATGTCTTTAAGCTGTGGTGCTGGAGAAGAGAGTTGAATATACCATGGACTGCTAGGAGAACAAACAGGTTTATCCTGGGGAAGGTGAAGCCGGAATGCTCCTTGGAGTCAAGGATTCTGAAGCTTCTTCTGACAAACTTTGGGCATGTTGCAAGGAGGGACTGGTCCTTGGAGAGGGACATCATGTTTGGGAGAGTGGAGGGACTGTGCAGGAGGGGAAGACCCTTGATGAGATGGATCGATTCTGTGAGTGGAGTGGTGGGAATGAGTGTGTTTGAGACGATGAGGCTGGCACAGGATAGAATGGTGTTTAGGGCTCTTGTACATAGGGTCACTATGAGTCGCAAGCGACTCGATGGCACATAAT